GGCTTTCAGGTGATGGGCCGGCGCAGGCGCGTGATGGCGGGTTTCCGGGCGCGGGCGTTACAAGGTGGGGGGCGGCGGCGGCCGTTGCTCCACCCGAGCAGGAGGCAGACGGGCACCGGGGATTAAGGAGTCACCCTCACGCAGATTCTGGGGTCACGCGTAACTTGGTTTACAGCTGATCCTGGAAAGCAAAGCCAGGTCAGACCTGGTTTGGGCATGGATGGGAGACCACCTGGAAATCCAAGGGCTGTAAGCTGGAAGTCGGGAATATCCCAGAAGGTGACAAGGGTAAATATTTTCTAGGTTCTACCCCCAAAAAGAAAGGGTACTGGGGAGGGAGAGGCAGTCCTGGACCCCACAAGTGATGTCATCACACAAATGATCCATATTCCATGCTTGCTTTCATATTGGACTGATTACACAAGGTTGGCATTTGTGCATCAAGTATTCTATGAGGCAACCACCCTTTGGAGCAGTGTTGTTCAAACTTGGCTACTTTAAGATCTGTGGACAATTCCCAGAATTCCCCTGCTGGGGAATTCTGGGAGTTAAAGTCCACCAACATCTTAGCACGGTGTGGGAACAAATGGCAGCTGTGCAATTCTGTGAAAACATCCCCCGGTGCTCAGTTGAGTAGCACACCCAAATGCCACGCAACTGTTAGCACTTCTAAAGAGGAAAGTTTGCACTTGGGCAAAGCCATCACCTACCCTGATGCTAACATTCTGGAGAACTCAAATGCTTGCACTCTTTTGTCCACAAGGTGTAGTAAAAAAGGTCAAGGTGGTGGCCACAACAGTGCAATTGAAGTGCCAATTGTTTTTATATGTGAATCCCTCATTAAAAAAAATAGAGCTTCAATCACACCACTGCAGCCATCTTGACTTTTAGGACACGTCCCACAGACACTCCTGCAGCATTTCAGAGGATCCTAATTAAACATTGCTCAACTCCAGACTAAAGATTCATAAACACAAGTTTTGCTGAATCAGTAAAAGGACTCTTATCCTACATTAAAAGCTAATTTACAGCACACCTCTGTATGTTTACCCGGGAGCAGAGAAGATTTATTCTGAGTTCAAACAAAAGGGGCTTTTGATACAATAGGAATTCTGGAAACTAGTCCCAGCACAGCTGAAGGATATCAGGCTAAAATATAGTGAAATTGAATATTTCTTTATCTTTCCTCTGCCACAAAGTTCAACACAAGTATACGTACGAATACTCATAGTCCTTAAGAAGTCCATCATTTAAGAACCAATTTGTGGTCTGCATATAGACAAATTAGTTACGCAGATAAAAGCAAGGATAGCTCTGCTGAATTCAGTAAAAATCTGCATTATAACTTTTATTAGGTCAACTCCACAGTTACAAATAATGTAGTGGGTTTTAAAAATTCATTTATTAATCAGGGATATTACTCCCCACCCCCCGCATACAACAAAAACAGAGATGGAAGGAAGCTGGAAAATCTTTGGAAGCATTAACATGTTATTCCTGATATTATTACTGTTTTTCATGTTGCCCTCGTACCACAATTTGGCCCTGTCAAACTATCATATCATGAAGAAATTCTACCGTTCTGTCACTGTAATGAGATAAGTTTCTTGGGCCTTGTTTCTTTTAAATCCAAAAGAGTTATTAGTTCAGCATTTTCTAGTTCACAGAACAAACTAGATATTAATCACAGCAAGAGTCAAATACAGAATTTTCTTACAGAAACACGAGCACATTATTTAACACTGATATGGCACAGAATTTTAGTAAGTGCATAAAGAAGCAAAACGAATGTAATATAAAGCATATAGTTACTAGTTAAGAATCATTAAAGCATTGAAGTACTAAGAGCATAGTACCAATAACCTCTCCCTTTTCTTAGTCTGTCAAGTTTTAGTAAACTTTATTTTAGTAAACAGATTAGCATGCTAGATGCTTATAAAGGCTCATGTTCAGACTGAATGGATGTAATATATACAGACTATACACAACACTCTGAGATACAGAGCATAACAAGATCTGCTAGCAGAAGCATGACTAGCTCACATTTGATCATCTTCAGAAGATTCTTCCTGTACTACAGGATAAGGAGACAAAGGACGTACCCTGTCAATGGAAAGGAAATACAAGTCAGCAACCATTCACATTTCTCTTCTAAAATCCCAGTCACCTATATTTAGAATAACTGGGCCATTAGAAGAGACTAAAAACATTATAAAGGCATGCAACCTTTATCTTGAACTGGAATCTGTTTTCCAGTTAGGTTAGCAACCTTCTAACCTCCCTTGACACACAGTCGCTTCCTCCTGTCCGTGTTGCCATGAATACAGATTTCAGAATGCGTGCCATTGAAACAAAACACGGACAGAAAATTCTATTATCTAGGCAATGCTGGAAACACTGTTTTAAAAAGCACTTTGTAAAAAGCCATGAAACAAAGCCCCACTGTGTGTTCCATCTGTGGGGGAAAAAAAGTTCCCAAAAACTTTTGCCCCCAATTCCCTTTAGAAAAAATCCAGTTTCAGACATCTTCCCAAAAACCCATGTTGTACTAAGGGAGCAAGGCTCGCGAGTTGTAATTGCACCAAGCAGTAACTAAAGTGATTAGAGTGAGATAGATCTGGAGATTTGTTTCACTCATTCTTCCACAGAGCATTAATACTGTGGCAGTTTTTTTCCCCCTAGGAATGCATAGATGGCCGTGCTTACTTCTTTCTGCATTTTCCTATTTCACTGCACCCCGGCTCCTCCTCCGAGTCTCGGTTCTCCTTTTCCAGAAGGTTTGGAGTTTGCCTGAAGAATTCTCCAATTCCTCTTTGCCACGGTGGGGTCGGCCTGATGCATACCGGATTGCCTCCCACATACTTACTTTCAGCTGTAGAAAACGAACCAGAATTTATCAGCGCCTAACTATCAAAGAAAAAAAGCAGCCCATCCACCGTAGTAGCTCCGAAAGCTTCTTATCCGCATACGGATTAATCTCTAGGAAACTGAATGCACAAGCTGTCTCAAGTTAGTCAAAACAAGGCACCTTTGCCAAAATGTAAAGCGAGAGTGCATCAGATGAGTAGTGGACTAACTCCAGGCATCTACTCTCGTGGAAGCGAATGTAGGCCTGCTGCCTATTTTGGATAAACGTCATAGGAATTCAGCCCAGATCTCAAAGCGTGAAGTATTTTAGGCCCAGCTCAGATGTGCTTACTCAAGAAGAAATAGCAAAATGCCAGAAAAACTAAGAAACCATATTATACTTGGCAACAGCCCTGTGCTGTTGCAGCTCTAGATTAAGGACAGACATAGCACAGTCGCTTTAATTAAAAGGAAGCCTAGGGAAAGCAAGGAAGCACCCTTAAGGAGGCAAGTGAAGCTTCAGATTGATTACTTGCAGTGCAATTCTAAGTTGGAAAGTGTCAGCAGCCGTCAGCCCCTGTCCAAAGCAGCATTAAAGCCAGCCAAGCGTCAAGACCATCCTACGCACTCACCTTTCCTTGATGTAGGAGAGGGACTAACATTCGCCTGTCCAGAGCCCAGCACTTTTCGGGGAGCCCTAGCAGCTACCACTGGCATAAAGAAAGGGTTAGAGATTATTTAGATTTAAAGGTGCCTCTAAGTCGAATTATCTAGGCACCAAACCAACTGCTTCTCTTTCAATCCACACAGAGTTTCCTTTGAATATCAAAAGATGCAGGGGCTAAGAAGGTAACAAGGGTATACACGCCCTACTCCAAGGTGCTCGGAGTCTGGTAAGGTACTTGGCAAATGTTCATCTCCAGCCAGAGAGGTAAGAAGGAATGAGAGCTGGCCGTCTTGGAGAGACCAGAGCTCTCCTGTGCTCCTCCTTACTAAGAAGCTTGCTCCATTCAGGGTGGATATCATTAAAAGCTTAAATTAAATTGGATTTTTAAACATCTGAACACGTTGGCTTGAACAGAACCCAGTACCTTTGTTAGGGAAGCAACACTTTAGCCCAGTGTCAGTGGGAACCAATCTGATATTTCTAATAATTACAGTTTAAGATTTACACTTGATGAAAACAATTTGTTGCAGGTTGCTCAGCAGTTGTTCTTGCCAACCTTGCTGTGACCTGTCAGTCAGAAATTTCTTTTTCAGTTGTCATTTAGAACTCACACGAATGGAGCCACCCCGAGACCTTACCCTCCTACTAAGTAATAACTATTGATTGTAAAGCAGAGTCCGTAGAAGAGTATTTTAATGACACTCCTTATCTGTTTAAAAAAAGCATGTAAAACACATATAGCACCATAAAGAGAAAGAAACTTGGCATTAAAGAACTGGAATATCTATATAAACCCGCCTGCCCTACCCTCCAAAGGAGAGGAATTCTTAGGCTGGAAATTTGAGGAGCTGAATTGCAGCACTAAAGGCCAATGTACCACCTCAAATTAGTTACATATTAAAGTAGCTGCATAGCCAAATAGCCAAATAATTTGTCTAGAAATATAAGCACTATGAGGTCTAATGAACATATGAAAAATAGAATGGGAACTTTGATTTAAATCAGTTTTCTATGAAGCTTAGTCAAAGAAAAAAAAAAAAACAGGATTCAGCCTATGAAACAGAACTCCTATTCCAGGAGTCCAATCCTAGCTATAGAGCCAGGAACAGAATACCCAAAGTTTCTGGTCACCCTAATAGATAATGAACCCCAATATGGAGCTGAGGTTCCATAATGAAGCCCCCTCCAAGAACCTCAAAGCCTTAGACAAGCCCTAGACTCAAATCACCTGCTGGGAAAAAAAAAATGTAACCAGTATCTGTCCAGTTAAAGAAGGTCAACCAGGAAGACCTCCAGGGCAGATTACCGAGTCCCTATCTTCCGGCTCACTGTCCAGAAAGCCATCACCAAGATTACCAATTACCTTAGGAAACCATGGTCAAGACTGCAAAAGTCAGTTTGATGGTAAAAGCTTTGAACATCAATAGCAATTCACCTTGTTCCTTAATCCTCTTCCAGGCCAAAGAGTCGCCAACTGCCATTCCACTTGCTTCATAACAGCGGCGTTCTCATAACCAGCTTAGCTGTGGTTTCCTGGCTTAGCCAGATTCTCTTTGTTCCCACAGCATCCTGGGCTAATGGAAGTTGGCTGCTTGTGGTTCCCCACGCTGTGCAAAGGCAGCCCAAGACAAACTCTTTACCTTTTCTCTTCGTGCATCAAACGTCAGCCCTCCGAGGTAGGGCGACATTGAATAAGGGCATTTCTACATTCTGAACCGCTGTCCTCCTGATTGCGCTGGCAGCTGCAATACACGCTCTGCATTGACACCACACGCTCATCCAGGTCAGCTAAAAATCTAACGGCTGTATGTGCACCCCGTGCTAATCTCAGTTGGTTTTTCTATGGCTTGCTATGTCTTACACCAGCCTAATGGGTAAAAGTGGTTAAAATCCATCACGTGTAGAGGAAGATGGAGGAAGGCAAGGGATATGACACGTCGCACAATTCATTTAACCCGGACCCTACGGGGCAGCTACAGTCACACAACGCCGCGTAAGCTGCCTAGTTGTACCTGTCCTTTTCCTTTTTTTCGTGGCTCAGCATCTTGGGCGAACCTAACCCTCTTAGGCAGGTAACTGCTCGAGTCCTTACGCAAACGGGCTAATTCCGCATCCCGGCTAATTCTGCAACCTGGTTAATCATGTGTCAACGCAGCCCGGGTTTTTGGGCACCGACGCCAAACGCTTTACCTTTCCGATAGGCACCGGCGGTGCCTCCGCAGTTCGCCTTGGTCCGCACCATGCCGCCGGCCGAAGAAGAAAGGCAGAACCCGGGAGGAAGGGCAGGCAAACGGCCACGCCGCGGCGGCTCCGCGCTCCTTTCCACCCGGCCGCCGAACGGCTTCTCCCCACTGCCGCAAGATTCGTCCTTCCCGCGCGCGCGCCGCACTCCCATTGGCCGAGGCGGAGACGGCGGCGGGCCAATCAGAGACCAGCCCGCGACTTTCATCAGCGGTTCGAAACTGCAGCCGCGTTCCGCTCGCTTCGCCGGACTCGTCCCGAGGGGATCCGCGCCTGGCGGCCGAGCCCCGGGCTGCAGCTCTCTCGGCGGGCGACAGCAGGCGGAAGGGGGTCTAGGACCAGCCCTGTTCCAGTCCGATGGGGCTCCTTTGGGTCTGAATCGAGAGAAGGGTGCCTCCGCCTATTGCAAGGATCGATAACCACTGGATTTTATTAATTGATTGGACTTGTATGTCGCCCGACTCTTTTTTTAACTTGTTTAGATTTATTAAGAATTTTACATAAAGTAAAAAGCAAATTTAAAGAAAAAGATAGAAAAGAAAGAAGTGCGAGAAAGAAAACTAAAGTTATGAAATATAATGCCTTCCGACCTTCTCTTCAATAGATATTAACAAACTTATTGTCTTCCTGCCCTCTTAACTCTTCCAGAAATCCCTTCACCCCCTTATTTAATTCTCATCTGTTTCAATCACTACATCTATAAATCATTTTGTTTTTTTCTTCTTTTAGCAAAAGCTCCATAAAAAGTTTCCAGTCTTTTAAAAAAGCACTCCTTTTCTCCCTGACCAAACAGGTCAGTTTTGCCATTTTGGTAGTTCTGACATTTTTACAATCCATTCCAGTTCATACAGTGATGTTTTTATTACACCTTGTAAGCTTTAAACTATTAAGAGAACAGGCAGCACATCAACATTGTACATCAAACAAACAATACAAAATAAAAATACAGTAATTTTTAATAAACAATGTTGTCACCCATCCTCACAGTTAGGAACGGTTGCTTATTTTGAACCCAACTGTATTTACATACTTACTTACTTACCAGTTTGGGGTATCTGATAAAGTGGTTTGATTCTGATTCAATTCATTAACATTTATCCTAAATATGTTGTTTCTTAAGATACCAGAGGATTGTTGGCCTTTTTAGGAGAGACTTTAATGCATCCACCTCTCTAGAAGTTGTAAAGCATGGAATCAGGATGTGAAGGATGTAAGTGGGTTATAAACTCACCACACTGGCTGCGTTTGCACAGTGCTGCACTAGTTAACCATGTTTTAGCCTAGTGTATTGTACAAAGCCAGCTAGTGAGATCTAACATAATCTCTAAGAAGAAGATCTCAAAGAAAAATGGGGTATACTTGAATTATAAATACAACCCCTGTTTAAATCTGTAAGTTATCAAAGAGAACTCATTCCTGTCTTTAAGATCTCCTACTAATTACTGAATAAACTCTCCTTAAAATCAGGGCTTTTCTGCTACCTATCTGGAAAGATTAACAGTTCTATTCCGCACCAGATCAAAGCTGAACTTAATTAGATTTACAGGCCAGTCTAAACACATTAAAGCTTGGTTCAAAGCGTGACAAGCAGCTTGCTTCTGCAACTCCATCCATTATTATGGTAATAAAACCCTCACAGCTTAAATGGGTGCTAAACCACTTGAGTTCCATTGTCATTCATCAAGAATGAGTGCTGTTAATTTGTTGATTGAGAAATGTGGTGTCCCAAGGCTCTTCCCAGGCATTATATATACAGTACACATATGGAGAATGTAAAATCTATACAATAGTTGTCTAATATTTATTTTCTCAACACATCCTTCATCATGTTTTCATCATATGCATGATCTGCTGGTTTGTTTCTCACAGCCTATTTTTCTCGACTGCTATTTTGTGTAGTATCTAATATTTGGTGGGAAAATTTATTTGATTCTGGGGGTAGGTACCCATCAACCTTCTCCCCCCCTCCATGCATTTCTTTTCATGCTAAGTCAGCAGCTGTCACCACATCCTTTGTTACCAAAATGCAGTGTTTAACTATGTCCTCTGTGAAGAAGCATTTCCTGTAGCCAGACACAGGTTAGATTTGCTAGTGTAACCTAGCTTCAGAATGCTATTGAAGCTTGCTTTATGCCTGAATATTAAAGGGCTAGTACATTGGTTCAGAGCAATGGATAAACCTAGGCCTCAACAAACTAGTTTTGGCAAACTAGTAACAGTACTGTTATTACAGTTATAAGATGAAGAAGGCAGCACTGGAGACCCACCACAGAAAGCAGATGGACTTGTGGGTGAAAGGACCACATTGATAAAGTAGACAAACATCAAAGACTTGTCAAGCAAAACCATGCTAACCACTGATGTAGACATGTTGGAAATGCGATATGGCATGTCCCAGGTGGGTTAAGAAGAAGAGCTAATTGGGAATCAGGCATGGAAGGTGCTTGAGAAAAGTGATCAGTCAAAAAAAGAAATGACCCTAGTAATCTGGATCCATGGGAAATAAAGGTCTGGACTGTGGGCCAAGTTTTTAGAAGGTTTCCATCACTGCTTGAACCATCCTCTCAGTGTGCTAATTTGCATCTCTGCTGTATTCAGTGGGGCTCTTAATAAAACTGGTCACTCAACTAAGAATTTTCAACTTAGGAAAAGTCTTAATTTCCTGCTCTTATTCTAATAGTTTATCTTCTCTGCAATTGTTTCCTTGCTTCAGTAAAAGAGGAAGTTCAGTACAGTGTTACTGAATCCTAGTGCTTTCCATGTTCTTGAAACCAACGAGAGAAATGAAAGCGGCAGGAACTTCCTGATGCTCAATTTTTAAAAGTTATACTTGTGTTTACACTTGATGGCAAAGGCTTCCACTGCTTTTTCCGTAACAGTATGCTGGTCATTGCAATAAACTGGTTCTGGGAACAAATTACAAAATGTCTATGTTGGTTTGACCATGTCAGTTTGGGGAAAACACACTTCAGCAAGGGTGATCTAAGTCACTGGGTTGCCCATTCCAATAAGTATTGATAAGCCCAACACAAAAAATAGACAATTGCAAGTCTGTTCGGATTTTCTTAAAGAAGAATCCTAACAATGTAAGCTTGGAAGGTTTCCCCAGAAATTCCCAACACCACAGCTCCATTAACTGATCCTGAATTCTACCATTATGAAAAGAGAAGCCCCATGTTGAAGCTATGTCTGCACAAGATGCCTGCTGGCTCACCCAATTAACCTAATTTTCTGGCTTTGCAAGACTTATGACACACATTAAACAAATTAATTGCACAGGCTGCATTTATACAACACATCAGGCTAAAATGCAGGTGCCTAGCTTGTAGTGCAGAATGGTATGTGGACAGAGATATAGCTTAAAAATAAATCAAAGGCCAAAAAAAAAAAAAAATCTGCAATGAGCAATATCAACCCAGGTGCTAAGGCAGGACGTGTTTCTCACAATCCTCACAATTTGAGAGCCTTGGAGACTGGCACTCAGATTCACATTTAGCTATTCCACTGCCACAAACTCTGTATAAAATATAGATCCTTGGAACTTTTCTTTACCTCCCCCTATTATGAGAACTGTTTATTCCTTCTGCTTATTATTTTTTTCCTAATTATCTATCTGCTAGTGGGCCACTTGCAGATTTTATTAGTTCTTCTGGCTGTGGTTGGACTTGGGTATAACTAGGAAAGTGCTGATGGACCCATGGAAAAATTCTAGGTCAGAGTTTGAGTAAACATTCAGCCTTGTCTTTCAGCTTGTGTAACAGAGTGGAGATGTGTGTCCTTGAAGCAGGAATGCAGGAGGTCAGCAATCTACAGACAGGCCTCTTCCAGGCATAAACAATGGAATAGTGTCATGAAAGGGGAGATGTGTAATATTCACAGTGCATGGACTCACAACTCTCTTTAAAAAAGAGACTTCTTCCTTGAGGAAAACTATAAATGAATTATTTTCTGAGAGGAGGAGGAGGAGAAGAATTTGATGCTACAAAGTTTTATTGGTTTGGGCCTTAAGACATGAAGCAAGTTTTAGTTGGTATGAAGATGGGTAGCCAGCTAGATTGCAGAAAGGTTGGGATGGTTTTAGAAGGGGCTGGGTTTGTGAAAAGAGAATAAGGAGGTCTACTTACATATTCCATATTCCTCTCTGGTTCTTTTGACTTTGGGGTTGTGTGTGTGTGTGTTTGCTCCTTTTTCTCTTTTTTAGATTCATGGAGAAAGTAATTGGTTTCAATTAAGATTTTCTTTTGGCAACCCATATTGTTGCTTTCAGCCATTATGAACTGTGATGCAGCTCTAATATCAATGTTATTTTTATATAATCCTCCTTCCCAAAGGAGCCATATACATACATACATACATACATACACACACACACACACACACACACACACACACACACACACACACATACTAGTAGGGTCCAACAGGGATATGTTTTGGAGTCAGTATTATTCAACATTTTTATGAATGATCTGGATAACAGGATTAATGTGCTGGTTATCAAGTTTGTGGATGACACAAAAATTGGGCAGTCCTTCCAACACCTAGGATGACAGAATGAGTTTGTAGCCTAATCTGGACTAGTTGGAAGACAGGTGAGAGGAATAAGATGTCCTTCAAGAAGGGAGAAATGTAAGGTATTACATCATGGCTTGGAGGAGGACTTGGGTCTCACGTTCAGCTTACCAACAAGCTGAATGTGAGACAGCAGTGGCAGCCAGCAGCTTCAAGGGCAAATGCAGTTCTGAGTTGTGTTAGAAGAAGCAATGTATCAAAGACATGTGAGTATCCCCCTCTGCTCTGCATTGATGAGAACATGCCTGGAGTACTACAGATTCTAGTTGCTACAATTACAGAAGTACTGCCAGGTTAGAACAGCTTCAGAGGAATACAAGAAGATCATACAGCAATTTGAGGGCATGCCTCATACAGACAGGCTGAAGGAACTTGGGATGTTCAATCTGGAGAAAAGAACACTGGGGGAGACAATCTCAGTGTTCAGGTACATAAAATTATGCCATAAGGAAAGATGTTCAGAAACTATTTTCCACCAGAAACTAGGACCAGGAATAATAGATATAAGTGACATCTATCTAAATTTCATTTAAATATACAGAGAAACTTCCTGACATTAAGTTCTGTACAACAGTGGAACAGTCTACCCGTGGAGATTGTGGGTTCTCCATCTCTGAAGGTTTTTGAGAAAAGGCTGGACAGCTGCCTCCCATAGATTATTTAATTGTTTTTTCCTGAATATTGCAGAGGGTTGGACTAGATGATCCTTGGGATCCTATCCAACTCCACTCTTCTGGGATGTTCTGACTCAATAAAACAATTAAAAAAAAAGATAAAACAATCAAGAATAAAAGTCCTATCCAGAGACAAGAAGTCAATAAAAAAGCAAGAATGATGAAAACAAAGACCATTCTTTCAAGGGGACTCATTTACGAATGCTTGGGCAACAAGTAGGCTTTCAGTTACTACTGAAAACAGTTCAGGAAGAGGAACAATCACCTTCAATACCCTTTGCTTTCTAGATTGGACTACGGATAGCTGCCTCGACTTCTGAACGAAGCCCAGCATTTTAACTATTGGAGTAGGCAACCTCCTTCTGAAGGATTTCAAGCAAACTGCATTTGGTGATTTCAAAGTTAGGCTCTTGGCATAGGCAAAGAAGATAAGATATTTTTTTCAGGGGCGCAGTGCAACATTCTTCCTCACTTTCTGCAGAGTACAGGAACAGTTGCTTCAGAGGAGTCCTGAAACAGCATGAAGGTAAGAACTTGGGAGTGAAACTCTTGGTTTGTCTTCTTTTTGATTTCTTTCCAGTTCTTTTTTAGCTGTGTTTTCTTTGATTCTTCTCCAGATGGATTCAAGTTTCAAGGATACAAGCTCCTGCAAGTTTCTTTGTTTCTAAATCCCTTTCCTGTGCTCAGTTTTGCCTTCCTGCTGCACTTTCATATGCTTTCTCTCATAAGCTCAGATCCTTATATTTTGGGTCAGACCCTTGTTCAGCTGTATGTGCATTAATATTTATGGAGGAGTGGGATCCAGAAAGGCAGGATTTTTTATTTTTTTTTTGGTGGGGGCAAATAGTGTTCTTGCATCAGGTCACCCAGTTTAGAATAACGATCATGTCCTGTTTTTGAATTCTCAAACAATTGCTAACTCCTTAAAATAAACTTGCTCACAAGATTGATCTGCGGAGTCCCTGGCTCACCAAGCTTTAATCGCCCTGTGTACCAAAACTCGGTTTTATTTGAATAGAAGTGATGTCATTTATTTCAAGTTTATTTTGGAAATAAATGTCCTTTATTCTTTCTGCTTTCATCACCCTGAAACTGATAAGTTTAGAGCTCATATATGGAATTCAGCTGATCTTATATTCACCTCTCTTGTGCATATTGCCATCCCTTCTTATCTGTTCTTTTCTTTGTGATGTAGTACCTCGGGGGAGGGTAGTGTTATATTTTTTCCCCCACTTGGAGGACAAGTTGAACATGAAAGTTCCAAATTTTGTTTAGCAATAGATAATATAGATGTAGTAAACTGTTTCTTTCTAAGAGTTACAGCCACAAAACCCTCCATAATTACTTTCAGAATTATTCTTCAACGGTCATAAGGCATTACCTGCACTTATTTCTCTTGCTTTAGATATTAGTTATCTCTTTTTCTCCCCCACCCTTTTTTACTCTGCCCCAGTATAGGATTCAGTTCTCTCTCTCCAACCTCCCTCTCCCCTTTCCCCTTATCAGAATGGCTCCTGATAAAAAAAGCAGCTAGTTAACCTTTTATTTGCATTCTGACAGAACCACAAAATATCCTATAATCATACATTAAAGTTGGCTTCTAGTGCATCTTAATTTTTTTTAATAATTATATTGAAGGTTTTAATAAACATAGTAAAAACGAATACAAACTAAACTAGAAGGAAAAAAGTGCAGAAAGTGCAGAAGAAGAAAAAGAAAAAGAAAAGGAAAAAAGTAGAAGAAAAAAAAGAAAAAGGCAACAAAGAGAATAATAAAGAAGTGGCTTCCAACCTTCATCACACCAAGCATAAGCTAATGTGGTAACTTTTCACCCTCTTTTAAAGTTACAAATTAAAAAAAACAACACTCTTCTCCCCATAGCCTAACTTTTATCTATACACGAATATCATATTTTCAATCCTTGAAAAGTCCATTAGGAGTTATCAGAAATATCAAACAAATTATTTATCCCTGGTCAAATAGTCCATCTTTATATTCCTTCTTTTTGCTCTGCACAGTCTTGACCTTTAAATCATTCCAGTGGCATCACAGGATTTGATCCTTCATCTCTCTCTGGCATTTAAAAGGGGTCTTCAAAGCTTTCAACTGCCTGGTTTGTAAATCCCATAAAGAGGCATCGTCCAGGATTTCTTGCTGCAGCTGTTCCATGTCCAGATCCTTTTCTTGATTGGTCTTTTGTATTCCCATTTTAGTCATCTCAATGTTGTTGTCTTCCATGCCTTCAAACTTTATAATGTCTATGTCAGGTAAAAAATTTAAGTAGTTTTTTCTCATCATTTTCTAAAAGTTTATCCACTGAAATCTGTATCCTTTCTGAGATATTATTAATATCAATTAATTAATATTAGTTATTAATATCTCAGTCATTCTATTGACTCAGTCATTGGTTATTAATATTATTTAATTAATATTAATTAGTTATTAATATCTCAGTCCATTTTTCAAAGGAAAAGTTATAACCAGCTTAGCTATTTTAACTCTTTTCTGCCTGGTCCTCTAGTGACCATTTGCAACCTTCATCAAGCCTCAGTTCCTAATGTGGGTTTAGTTCCGTTTCAGTCATTTCTGAAGTATTATTTAATTATATACTTGTTTCCCAAATCTTATAGAAAAAATAACCACTATTCCAAATCTCTCTGATCTCCCAATCTGTTTACAACTTTCTTAAATCAAAATCCTTTTCTGCTTTTTGCCAATTGGATATTATTTAAAATTCTTACGTCTCTGTTTAAAATTTCTTAAATCCAAAGAAGGTAAAACTAACCAGGTGTCAAATTAAGCTCACCATTTTGAAGGTCTCTAATATCTATACAGTGGTTAAACTGAACATTTCCGAATGTGATCAGAAAGTGAATTCTGCTTAATAAGGCTTATTGTCCTTATTAAAGGCTCCGCCACTGCTGAGATCAAAGATGTCATCTCCCTTGGTTCCTGGCACTCAAACCTGCAGGAGACCACTGTTCTACAGTCTCCCTGTGAAGAGCTGCCATTCAGAACATGGTGGGCAATGTCCCATTCTCTCGTTCTCTGGAAAGATTTGAAGGACCGGTCTACTCGCTGGTCCTTCATTCTTGACAGCAGTTGTCGTCTCTGGTTGTTTACAGACGTCTTCAGTCAGCCATGACTCACACTGGAAGTCCCTAGTCCATCTTAATTTCTGATGGTTAACATGGACAGAAGCATTTCCACAGGAATGTTACAAGGAATCAAAAATCTTGTTAGGGGGATAAACCAAGCTAAAGTGTATTTTAAGGAACCCTTTTTACTCTGGTCAAACCTCTAGAAATATCAAGAACACATCATGCTAAATCATGATTTCTTTAATGATAGTTCACTGAACAATCTGCTAAGCCATAAATTATGCTCTAGAGCAGAATATGTGGTAGCACATATTCAGCCCAATCCAAGCAAACCACATTATGGCTTAGGGTGTTCTGTGAACTGGTTTAATGAACCATGGTTTCTTGAATTATCCCAATTGTCTGGATTTGCAAAACACATTAAACCGTAAGCCAGCCACTTACACCAGAGTTACATAACATTTCAGATTGCAGCCCTAATATGTGATTTGTTAAGTTGCACAAACCTAACCATTGCAGAGCAACTAAAAATGCAGAGGGTGGCCATAGTTATGAGCAAGGTACAGCCTTTCCTCTACCATCTTATGCATTCAGAGAATTTTATTTACAGGCCCAACTATGAGTTACTCAACCGGGTTTTGGGGGCCAGCACGACGCTTAGGCCAACATAGGATTAGCCAGTGCGTTGTGCCCACCCAGCCAATGTAGTGTCTGGATCAGCAAGTGGTGCCCCAGGCCAGGAATGCAGTCAACCATGGTTCAGTTAACCTTGAGTCTGCATGTTGTAAATCCATCTATGTGGTCGCTAGGAATTGAAAACGACTTGATGGCCTATTATCAATGAATCAATCGTATGTTGTGCCAACTCAGTCACTGCCTAGGCTAAAATGGTGACGGTTCAGTCCATCCCCAAACACAACTCAGCTCTCCTTTTCACACTCTCAGTGAAGTTGGTCGCGTTGCGTAGCGTGTCTGTCTCTCTTGCTTGCTTCAGGACCAAGCAGGAACCAGAACCAGAACCAGAACCAGAACCTGAATCTCCCCAGCAGCCTCGCTCCGCCGCATTGGGCCCCTTGCTCTTAGAACCCTCTAACCACAGCCCCCTTGTGGTTAGCAGCGGAACTAGAGATACGCAGCCGTCGTTGTCCAGACGGCGCCTTTGCGCGTTGCCCCGGAGCCTTGCCGGCTTTTCGTGGATGTGCACCCGTTTTCTTCTTCCCCCGTCATGAAGGCGTCGCTGCCAGAGGCGGAGATGGCGACGGCGCTCGTGTCGTGGTGCATTGGGCAGCTGCGCGGCAGCTTTGGGCTGGATGTCAGCGAGGAGATCATCCAGTGAGCTGGGGGGTCGGGGGCAAAAGGGAAGCGGCGCAGAGCCGGCGCTCTCCCGCGACGCAACCTTGCCACGGGCTCCCCTCTTCGCCTGCCTCGGGATGGCGCCGCGTGGGTGGCCCCTTGGCCTGCCCGCTTTCCGTTTGGCTGCCTTTGGCCGTGGCAGGCCAAGAGCGCCAGTTGCTATATCGAGGGTATCGCTTTTTCCCTTGGACAACAGGCAGAAATGCAACAGGTGTGGGGAGTGGAAGAAGCCGGCCCAGCCCTTGAGCCCAGTGAGGTGACAGTCTTGGGCAACTGATGCTGGGGGCCGTGAGACAGGACCACTGCATTCATGCAACCCATTAAACCCTTGTTTGCAGCTCGGGATGTTGCGTGAATCCAGGCGTTACAAGTAAATATAATGGTTACCGTTATAATGGCAAACCATGATGTATGGCTTCATGTGCAACGTGAATGTGACCTGCCCTTGCTGTCTAACATACCTGGTCCTCTTTGGTGTGGTGGAGAATGCTGTCCTATGGCCAACGTGTGACACTAAATTGCCCCTTTGACCCATTTCTATATTAGAAACAGGAAGTAGCTTGCTGATGTGGGGCAGCAAATATCTTGAAGGGGACCCTAGCAGCAAAGTCAAGGCCAGTGTTTCTCAACCTTGGCAACTTAAGACATGTGGACTTCAACTCCCAGAATTCCAGGTCATCGTTTCAGAGATATTTCCTTACCTAAATAGAGACACAGAATGACCAAAGGCAAAAAAGTGGTGGGAGTGTGAGCATCTTAAGACTTGCTGCTGGCTTCCCCATTGACTTTGCTTGTGGGAAACTGGCAGGGAACATCAGAAATCTCCCTCCCTCCCTTCCTTCTGTATTATTTTATATTATTATTCTGTATCTTTTTAGATATATTTTGTCTATTAATGATGAGGAAGAGATTCGAGAGTATGTCACTGACTTAATCCAAGGGAAAGATGGCAAAAAGAAGTACTTTGTAGATGAGCTCGTAGCCAGGTGGAAACAGTCCTGTTCTACAACTTCTGATCCTTTGCAGCTGTATCAGAAAAAGGATGGTAAGTCAGAGCAGAAAATGAGATGAAAAGCTGTTCAAGAATCAAGAGGACATTAGAAATCATTGAGTAAAGAGGACATTACTAAATCATTGTTAGATTAGCTCCAACCAATAGAACACTCTAGCCCTTTGCTACCATCTACCGGTAGCAAACTGAATTCTTGTAGACCTGGTCTGATAGCTCTGCCTAAATGCAGTGTAGCTAAAATATGGCCATCCAGAGCTTGCTGAATTACAGCAATCAACATTCCTTACAATTAAGATTAGTTGGGTTGCAGTTGTATGGAAGCTACAGTTCAGCAGTATCCAGAGGACCTGCCCCTGGCCTAACCAAAGAAAGCTGCACGTTACATGAAAAGGTGCTTCTTTCTAAGAATGCAGTAATTTGGTCAGCCTTCCCTAGACTGAACTAATTATGAGACTGAAAAAAAAACAGGCATGTCTATGCTGCTTTCACTTTTTCCTTTAATATCTAGGAATATGCAGTGATGTGACATAGTTGTACATTGGCCAGTGATTTATGGAGGGTAGCAAAAAATCTGTACAACAGTCTCATGTCATGCTGTTTTTTTGTTTAGACCAGGGGTCCCTAAACTCTTCGGCTCACAGACCCCTTCATGAAGTTTCAGATTGTTCATCAACCCCGAAACATTTATTATTTGAAAATAATTTGATAATACTACTTTAATAGTACTACTACTACTGTGAAGAATAAGAATAGAGACAATTCAAGGCCGCTCTCACTGGTGGCTGACTATCCAATGCTGTCTCACCACTAGCCACCTCACCTTCAGGACTAGGGACTGGCGTGGAACTCTACAGAGACCTCAAAATATTAATTGATTCTGATCGACCTTTCATCATTTATCAACCACCTGTTGACCCCCAGACATTTATCAGCTCTTTTGATAGACTCACTAACCCTTGGGGTTGATACAGACCACTTTGGGGAACCCTAATTTAGATATTTGCAGAGGGGTGGGGAAGGAATCTGGACTAATAGCAGCTTCTGCTAAGTTTTTCCTGTTCTGTTCTTAGATACTTTGGATATTCCTCGGCCAGGAGACCAGACAAAGAGAGGAAGGCATAAAGGGAGAAATAAACAGGAAACACCTATTTATGTTGAAGCCAGTCAGCCTGTAGAGAAAGTAAAAACACCACTTGATTTAGCCAAGGTAGGTACATTTGGTATCCACTGTTATTAGAACACATTCATTGTGGAATACTTTTTACATTTAAGAATAAATCTAATCTTTCAGAATCAATGAGAAGGATTGTTGATTATAATTTTTCACTTAGTGCTTTTAAAGGTGCCCTTGCGTGTCATGGTGAATAACAAGACCCTGCCTTAATCCAAATATCACAAAACCCTAGTTGAAGGAGTGATTAAAATTATTTTTCATAAATACAGAATAATTAATGTTTATCCATTATCTTGTTGCAGTGCCATACTTGGCTGAGAATTCTGGGGATTAGAGTCAGTCTGTCTGGAGAGAGACATTGTAGGAGAGGCTGTTTGGGGCCGTGATCTTGGCTGCAGATAATTTAATATCTTACTGGAATGTTTGTCAAAAAAAATCTAGGACGTTTTCACATGAATAACTCCACTGAAAGGATGAATGGGCTACTGTTTCAAAACAGTGGTAATTCTCAGGTGATATTATATTGGTGGGTGCTCAGTTTTGTATTCTAAGGGTTTTCTTTGGAATGTAACAGAACCAAATTCACAGGTTTCTTTTTATTTTGGAGTGGGGTTAGTGGTAATACTATTATTCCTTACATCAAACAAAACAGTGAGAGACACTGTTTTAACATACACTCAGGCTATCTCTGTATACCTTGCTGTAACTGTGAAAATGGGTAACTAATCCCAGTTCAGGAGGTTCTTGTTGTATGTACTCTTGTGGTACATCTATTCTCTGGTGTGTTTTCATCTCTTCGTTTTATCCTTCTTTCTCCACCTTCATAACAGGTCCAGGAGGTCCCCAGAGGTAGCAGCTCCTCTTCCTCCAAGAAGAAGGCAAAATATGTCAATTTGTATACCAAAGAAGGTCAGGACAAGCTGGCCGTCATGATTCCAGGGCGTCATTCCTGTGAATGCCTTGCCCAGAAGCACAAACTCATCAACAACTGTTTGATGTGCGGGCGCATCGTCTGCGAACAAGAAGGGTCTGGGCCTTGCTTGTTCTGTGGAACTCTGGTATGCTAAAATGTCCTGTTTTGGTTTTCTTTCTTTGAAAGAATTGTTCCATTGTTTGACTTTGAATCTAAACAATGGCTACAAGATCCAGAGTGCAAAAATGCAGATGGCTGCTAGATGGCAACAGATAGAGACAGAAAAGCATCACTCTGCTGTCTTTTAGTGGTTGTCCAATTTTTGGCAGCCCAGATCTGGGACTGACAACGGTCTCAGCGTTTTACTTTTAAGCCAGGAACTTTTCAGGCTAGCACATTGATTGCAACAGCATGAAAACAGCAAGTAATAAGGGAGGACGAGGAAAGTTTTTTTGAGGAGAAACCTCTTTAAAGAGGTAATTGATATTTTAAATACCTGTTTAACACTGAGAAGAAAGGAATGCCTATCATAGCACAAAATCCCCTTTGCCTGCAGCAAAAGTTCCCACTGTAAGCCACCAGCCAGATACACTTGTGAAAAATAGAGAATGTATTCTTAACTAGAATGGCTACATACTACTGAGTTACAAAACAGGCAGGAAAAGTGTCTAGAACAGAACCAAAGGGCATATTAAATTCTCACCCTGGCACTTTGTTGTTTTTAATTTGCTTTGAACATATTTTAATTAAAAATGCTTTCATATCAAATATGGATGAAGTTACAGTTTTGAGAGGAATCTTTACAGTGAACAAATGATGCACATGCAACAAGAAGAAAAGATACTTCCTTAGTGTTATGCCCTGTACTTGGAAGATCTTAAGTTCAGTCTGATGCCTCTTCTTCTATCGTAGGTGTGCACCAAAGAAGAACAGGATGTCCTGCAACGGGATTCCAACAAGAGCCAAAAGCTGCTAAAGAAACTTCTGGGTGGTTGGTATTTTATCAAGGACTATTTCTACAGGTAGTCCTTCCTTAACGATGGTAATTGGGACCAGAATTTCTGTCGCTAAGCAAAGTGGTCATAAAGTGTGATGTCATGTGACTGTGCTACTTAGCAACAGCAATCCTGGCAGTCCCTGGTAGCCGTTGTTAAGTGAGGACCTCATATGATCACAATTTCTCACTTCCTGCTGGCTTCCTCATTGAGTTTGCTTGTGGGAAGCTGGCAAGGAAGGTTGCAAATTATGATCACATGATGCAGGGACACTGTGACTGTCGGAAATCCAGGCAGGGTGCTGACCACCTGGATCACAATTACATGACTGCAAGGATGCTTCAGTGGCTGGAACTTCAAGGACCAGTTGTAAGTACCACTCGTTCAGTGCCGTTGTAAGTTTGAACGGTCGCTGAACAAGTGGCCGTTAAAAAAGGATGACCAGTATATCTAACCTTGTTACAGGGCGGGTCGGAATTATTCGATTCCCTTGAAAAATTTGAAGGATGCTATACTGATTCAATATGAGTAATCTTTTTTGATGGTTATTACAAGTATCCGATCGATTGTTTTCAGCTCAGCTGATGCCAGGTAATCTTGGTTGAGTTGGGCATTATATTCTATTTTTCGGTGACCAACAAGCCCACAAGGCTTGAAGTGAGCTTTTTTTAAAAAACGTTATTTAACAATGATACAGTGTATACAGATATACAAAGATAGATAGATAGATAGATAGATAGATAGATAGATAGATAGATAGATAATTTCCCTCTTTTAGAAGTACATCAACAGTATTCTATGTTTATTTTGTTGTTATTTAACAATAATTGTTATAATTATTATTTTATTTTATTTAAAACAAAGGTACAGTGGTACCTCAGGTTACGAACTTAATTCATTCCGTGACTCTGGTCACAGCCCGAATTGGTTGCAACCCAAAGCAAATTTCCCCATAAGGTTCAATGTAATTACCGTTAATCCGTT